CTGCAGGGAAACCCAAGTCTGCAAGCTGGGCAAACTGGAAACAAATAACTCTTCATAGGGTCCCTCAGCTAGGTCCCCCCCTGCCCTGGCAGGGCAAAGGGAAGACAACAAGTTGGTAGGGACAGGACCATGGCTGTCCTGGCAGAACTGAAGCAGAAGCACACCCTGCATGCTCATGGTCTGACATTATGGCTATGCAGCAGCTAGTGGTGAAATGCTGCTGAAAGGCTACAGTCCTGCCTCCCCTCCTCTGGTGTCACATCTAGCAATTGCAGAGCCACGGGATGAGCTGGCTTGGCAGGCTATGCCACTGCTTGGGAAGACAAGTTTGTTCTCCAAGCTGTGGCACAGCTGCTGAGACACAGCAGCCCTTAGCAAATGCTCCCCCTGGCACCTGTGCAGTGGGGTCCACCAGCCCTCACCAGCTTCAGGAGGTGGTAGCAGCTATGGCTGAGGGGTTAATGGTGCACAGTGAGGAAATATGCTTAGCGTTGGTTGATGGGGTGATGGTGACTGAGCAGGCTGATTTTTTTTTTTTTTTGCATACCACTATGTTGAGGAAGTGGCTGACTGGAATGATTAGAGGAATCCATGAGAAGTGGCTGCCTCCTCCTTGTAGACATGAAGTGTTTCTACCTTGAGGTAGTAGCAGCGTAGTATTACCATCTTATATGGTAATGTTAGTATCACCTGGACAGTTGTAGTTTTAAAAAATAATTACACAAAATCAAGATTTAGAAATACATTGACAGGAACTCTATAAGACAAAAACAGTGCCTGTGATGTCCCAAATCTTTACAGAATTGAGATGGCAGTGATAAAGCCCTTGAAAATCAGAAGTGTGTCAGTGCAAACATCATCCTGCTCCTTCTCGATGATCTTGGAGGTCTCTTCCAACCTTTAATGATTCTATGATTCTATGATTCTGAGTTGAGATCCATCCCTTACATCCAGGGCACATTTGCTCAGGATATAGGATGTGTCAACAGCAGCACAGTTTAACACTACATTGTTGTGAAGACAAGCTTTATGCTTATGGAAACTATACCAAGTAGTTAACTATTTTACTGTAGTAGCTGTTCTACACTCGAACTATTAACATCCTCTCCAGATACTTCCTCTGGTGCTTGCTAAAGGTTATAATCTCATCATCCTTTTAACAACCCAATTGCTTGTCCTGAAAATGCCATTTAACATTGTACTCTCATTTATCCATTATTTAAACCCATAGACCATTCTTTCCTATTATCTCCCTCCTCATAGTTTCCAGTGCAATGTCTTTCCTACAGACTGTCATTGACAACTGACAATACAACCAGAACAGCCTCTATACACTTTATCTTGTGAAATCTCCATTTGCTGTAGTCAGTGCAGGTACTCACTGCTAGAACATGCAAGTGGCATGACATAAACAAAACAAAAAACAGTGCAAGAAAAGAAAAAGGAGACAGCTAAAATAAATGTGGAACAAATACAGTCTAGAGAGCTTTCTGGACTGAACACCAGCTGAAATAATGAAAAAAGAAACTATCCCATTTCATGTTGATTGTTTTGAGGATAAACATTTTTTGTACATTTTAATAAATAAATCTGCTTGCATGAAAAAGAAAACAAAACCAGGCTCTACACTCAGAGACCTAACTGCACAACTCTGTGGATCAGCAAATACATTTCATGCTGCTGCGTTTTTACCATGTGTTTGCAACACATTAAGATCACATGCATCCATAATTCCTGTAGCTCTACTAACTTTTCCAGGCAGGATCACATGTCTGAGCGGGCAGCCAACAATCTCCTCCTAATGGCAGCAACCCACTGGGCCCACGGCTTGGGGAGGGCTTCAGTTCACAGAGGTTTTGTGAAATAAGGATGTACCATCATATGCTGAAGGGTAACGTGAGCAAGGATGGCTCTTAGTAGGGTAAAGTGTGCTATGACTCAATCTTTGGGAGAACCAGTAATGCCTACAGAAAGCACAGGAGCCAAAGCTTCATGAACTGGTAGGGAAGATGTAGGAACAAACAGAAAGCTGACACTGTGTCCAGCCTTTTATGCAATGGGCATTATGAAACCAAGCACCTGAGCAGCTGGCAAGAGTTTCTGCTGTGTGAATGCCTGGACAAAGCACAAAGGCTGGGACATGTTAGCCTTTTTGCAGCTATTATGAATCTGATGGCTACCTTTTCTTTAGAAGCAAGCATCTTAACCTGTCTTTCTGCATTTAAAGTGATAAAAAACAGAGGATTCCCAAGCAGCCTATATCCTACTTTAAAGTTCTTGAACACAATACCAGTGTGAAGTGGAAGATGTGGACTCCTTCTGACCTGCAGGCAAAATTCAGTCCTGACTGACAAGGAGGATACTCACACAAAGATAAGCACACAGCTTTACCTATTACATCTTCCCTTTGTCCACAGAACAACTTGAAGATGGTTTATGCAGAGGCAGGCTCCCATTAAGACCCTACTCTTGTAGCCCAAGATTTGAGCCCATTTCTAGCTTGACTCACTGTTTCTCTCCTGAAAGAGACGCTGCTTTCTGCAGCAGCACCCTCAATATTTATGCCTCTTTGTAATATCAATAATTTTGTTTTAATGGGAGCAGATCTGCTGACTTGGTCATTGATTTGCAGTAAGATGTAAGTACAGCCACACTGAGCTTAACTTTGTATGTCAGATGAGCATGTGAAAGATGTGAAGAAACATTATTCAAAGTGGAGCTGCTTTATCCTAGACTGCTGATTCATAATGAACTCAAAGAAATGTATTGTTTTCCCCTTCCCCTGGTATATGAAATAAACACAGTGATCTGTGCTACCCTTCAGTTTTCATGTGCTCTACATGAGGTTCTTGCAAGAACTACCCTATCACTAAACTATCTTTTCAGCTCTGTTGTTTCTTCCCCCATTGTAAATAAATAAATAAGTCCTTGCCTTAAACATAACATACCTGTTTCTCTTCTTAAACATATTATGACCAGGAACTATCAGAACTAATATATGTAAATATAAAAACCCCACCTCATGCATGATTCATACTTACTCATTATAAAACAGGGCTCTACCACCATTCACAGAAAGCACACGCTACCCTCATAATGAGCAAGGCAAATGCTAGCATGATGGAAAATTAGCTTTGGTGAGCCTGGATTGCACCATACCCCCCTTCAGCTACTTGCTTACACACATTGATGAAGAGCTGCTAATGCTATGCTTGTCATGGTGCCCTGATGGAGCAAGCCTCCGAGAAAGGCAGTGTTTTACAAGTCCACGATGTCAACTGATAAGGAGAACAACAGGCTTCCTGGCTCTGTTACTATATTGGGAAGGGACTTTGGGGAGGTGCGGGAGCTGGGACTTGCAGACAGGCTGTCTCCCTTTGCTCTAGGGGGTGACTCCCCCCTGTGCACAGCAGCCCCTCCATGCACCTTCATTCACAGAGACACAAACGTTTTATATACCTAAACATCACTGCCAACTCTAAACTTTAAAAAAAATAATCTAAACCACACAAAATGTAAAGGGCAAAACTGCCATGCTTGGTCAGGCATGGTGGCTCAGGCTCAGCAGAGCACCCTTCAGCTGCACCTTCCCTCCCAGGAAAACCGAGGTGGGTCTGGGGAGGGGGGACCAAAAATAGTTGCAGGTGGTGACCAGGCCAGTACTGCCACCCCAGGGTGCAACCAGACATTTTTGGCACCCCCCACCTTGCTGGTGCCACCTCCAATCAACAGCACCCCCAAGCTCTTCAAGAGCCACGTGCAGCAGAAACCAGTCAAAACCAGTCAAGAACACATTGAAACCAGGCAAAAGCCCACCAAAACCAGACAAAACCTGTTGAAACCAGACAAGGTGGTTACCTGATGGTGGCTCTGCTGCTCACAGGCGAAGCACTGTTGACCACGGCCAGGTGGTCTCCTCTGGGGACAGGGATGTCATCCTGCCAGTGACATTTTGAAACCTGGAGGGCTGCCCTGATAGGTGGGCACCACCATTTTGGGCAAAGGTAATTCCGGAGTCTCTGTGAGGGAAGGCCACAGGCATCCTGGCTGGCCAGAATGTGTTTGTGCCTCTAAGACACAGGGTGCAACACACCACATCGTAGGTGGGTTTTTTGCCAGTTGTGGGGCACACGAGCCCACCTGCTCAGCTATCTGTCATCCAAGCTTTCAAGCAGAGGTTCTTACCAGCAGGGCTTGGCCAAGTGGGGTTGCAAAGCTGCTGCCTCAGCCAGCCGTACTGCAGGTGACATGCAGGGAGGGTCGCCAGGGCCAAGGCGCAGCACCTCCCCTGGTTTTCACACGAGTTTATTCTGGTGCGCTTTGGTTAAAATATACTGCTAGTTCTTATGTGGAGCTGGAGGTCCCACGGACGCTCAGAAACAGAAAAAGCCCCACTTGTGGGGAATGAGGGCATCGATCCCACTCTCCCTCGCATGCTAAGCGAGGGCTCTACCTTTTTAGCTAATTCCCCTCCTCACTGGTGCCTTCCCCCGCAGGCTGCAACATCGCACCCCTCCACGCGCACCACCGACTTGTTGTCAGGCAGTTTGGCGTCCGCACCACGCCCTGAGGGACGTAGCTCCGCGCGCTGGCCAATGGCGAGGCGTAGAGAGTAAGGCTACAGGGAGATCGCCACTACAGGCGCCCACCCCTCCCGCCGTGGCCTCCTGCCGGGTCTGAACATCTCAGCTCTGGATTGGGCGAAAGGGTTTATTTTTAAAAGGAACGTGCTCTTTCTATTGGGCGAGAGAAACGCCTGTCAGGGTGACGTTTCCTTGTTGCTATGTCGGGAAGGTGGGAAGTGAGATGCACCCGCCCCATGCGTTGACTGGCCAACAGGAAGCCGAGAGCCCGCCCCTAACCCCGTTCGACCCTGTTGTAGTCGCGTAGCTGAGTGACTGACACCCGCCAGACTGCCAGTGAGAGGCCGAGCTCCGCACACCGTCCAATAGAAAGGCGCAAGCCGAGGAGGAGGGTGGTGCCGGGGCGGTATGATTGGCAGGCGGGGCGGAGGGAGAGGAGGGCTCGCAGGAGCTGATATGTCCGCCATCTTGGAGCGTCGGTGATGGTGGCAAGCGGTGGCTTTCCCGCCTGAGCGGAGGCAGCGTGGGGCCTGTGGCGGGGGGACGCGCTTGCCGAGGTATGGAATGTCAAGAGCAGAGCGCAAGAAGGAGAAGGAGGAGAGA